ACTTACTGACTTATTGACTTACTTACTTTTTCTTACTTATTTACTTCAGAATCAGCTTTACTTTTATTCATCCCCAATTTTCACATTTCATTACAGACATGCAGCCGACCAGCAGAAGAACAGAGTTATCAAATTCACATTTTTACTTACATTTTTAAAAATACAGTACTTTCGTTACATAATGCACTCAAATAAAGTAAAAAGTTCTTTAAGTCATATTGCTATTCTTACCTAATACCCAAACCATAACTCCTATCTCCAGAGAGTTAATTAAATAGCTAGTTACTGAACCTAAATAATTCTTAATGGAAATTAAACTATGAAACAGAATAGTAGGTAATGATTTGCAAGTACATTAAAGTAACTTTTCTGCACATGCTTTTCTTCACAGACATGTTATTGCTTTGTCTGGAATGTTTAAAAGTATTAAACCTTTCTATCTTCATGGAGACCAACCGGACCAAGTTACAGGTCAGATTTGTGGAGATGCGACAGTCAAAATGTTTGTTTTTCTAGGTGTTTTTGAACTGTAAAACCACCTGTGATTGAATAAATGCAAGGTAAAGGTGTTTAATGTCATACTGTGGAACATTCCAGGGAGAGCAATGACGTCTCTGTAGAAACAAACAGCTGATGGCCTCCCAACCAAAAAGTTACATAGTGCACCTTTAACAGAATAAAAGATAATTATTATTAAATTACTAGGGATGTAATGATATCCAAATCTCTCGATACGATATTATCACGATATGCATCTCACGATACGATATTTACTGCGATATTTTGGCGTGGCAAATGTAATTCTAGATAGGACACTTTTTTGCTTTTAAAATACTTTGACAAGATTTTGGTGTGAAGTATTACCAATATAATCCCAAGAATTCAAGTAAAAAACATATTTCTTCATGTTGTATGCAAAGGAACTTGTAACTCAATATATTGTGACAGCCCACGATATTATTGTGAGACTTCTGACGATACAATATCACGATATTTCGGTTATTGTTACATCCCTAGTAAGTAGCTTTTTTCTACAAATGTTGGTGACACAATGGAGATTTTCTTTGTTGGTGATTCTCACAATTATATAAAATGCCCCACGAACGATTATTGCGATATTTGCTTTTAAAATACCTTGACAAGATTTTGGTGCAAAGTATTCTGTCATAATCCCAAGAATTCAAGTAAAAAACATATTCCTCCATGTTATCTACGCTGAAATGAATCATGGGATATGTAGTTCCCCATGTTTATTAGCCGTTCCTACTAAAAAACAATGCATTTAAGCAAAGAAACGTGTAATTCGATATATTGTGACAGCTCTCGATATTATTGTGAGACTTCTGACGATAAGATATCACGATATTTCAGTTACTGTTACATCCCTAAATAAAATAAATTACATATCTAATTATTTTCTGGGATGTTTTGAGGTTTACGAATAACGCAATTGTTTAATTTCAAATCATTTTCTATTCTGTAATGATGGAAAGAGTTAAAAGAGTCAAACAAAAGTCAAAATTAGTGATAGGTGCAAAACACATTCATACATTCATACATTTTTTTTCAAATTGTGAACATCTTTTCACTGTAATCTCCCGCGTTACTTTGTCTGTAAAGGAATGTTGTGTATTTGGCTCCTGTGTTTTATTTTGGGGTTGCGGGGAACATATGGTGAGTGACAGACATGCCCCTTTAGTCCCCTGCAGCTGTCCTGACCCCTCCCTCAAAGTTCCTCACCTGTTCTATGGGCTTTGTCCTTGTCCCCTGTGCCCCCCGCGGACTGCCCCGACACAGAAATGGGTCAGCGAGAAAGAGATTATGATGAAGTGGGTGCAGGGATACTTAAAATATTTGTACTTTGAACATAACACATTGGATGAGGGAAGTGGGTGATAGTTAATAAGTCTAGATTGGAAGTAGTTTTCTGAGAATGCGTACAGTACAAACATGGCCGACCCTCTGCGGAGAGTTTCCTGAAGGATCTCACGGCATCATCTTTTACGGGACGGCCCCAACAGCTGAACTACAACACTTGTTTTTCTATTTGAGCTGATGCCAAGTGATTCTTGTTTTGACATGTGTATACAGTATATCTAAAAATACTATGGTGCATACTATGGTGTATGGCAGAGGTCTTCAGCAGGAGGGTCACGAAAACTTTGGTTGATTCCTTTTTTTTTTTTGAAGGATCAATCAATCAATCAATCAAACTTTATTTGTATAGCACTTTTCATAAATTTGAAATGTAGCACAAAGTGCTTCACATGCAACAGAAAAATTACAATACAATAATTAAAAACGAGAGCAACCCCCCCACCCCATCCCATTGTTTCATCCATATATACAACCATTTAAACATAAACATAAAAACAAAAACATTAACATAAAGCTCCTAAAGGTTATCATAAAAATCAAAATGGAGAGCTAAAATCAAATGGAGATAAAGTAAAACAGTAATGATAATTTAGTTTAGAAAAGCACTCAGAGAGTGCAGACCTCCGCCAAGGACTACCCCCATTTTTTATATAAACTGTGATAAAATCAGTCTTCTGGATCAGATCCGGATCAGCCTTTGGAATATGAAAGAGGATCCCACTGTCCATCCCTGAGTCAAATTTCATGGGGTTTGGTCAATAATTAATCGAGATATTGAGAAACAAAATTTTTGGCCCCATTTACCACAATGTTAACTAAAATTTCAAAGTGATCCAGAATCCAGGATTTCTTCCGGATCACCCCCAAAATGAAAACAGTTCTTCCTTTTCACATTTCCAACAAATCCTGAAAATTTCATCAAAATCGGTCCATAACTTTTTGAGTTATGTTGCTAAGAGACAAACAAACAGACAAACGCTGGCAAAAACATAACCTCCTTGGCGGAGGTAATAATAATAATAATAATAATAATAATAATAATAATAATAATAATAATAATTTAAGTTAAAACAGATAAAAGTTTCAATTAAAAGCTAAATTAAAAAGATACGTTTTGAGTTTACTTTTAAAAATATGAACACTCGCAGCGGACCTCAGATCCTCAGGTCGACTGTTCCACAAACGGGGGCTGTAAAAGCTGAATGACGCCTCACCGTGAGTTTTTTTTGAGGATGAGGATGAGCTGGTTTTCTTTGGGTTCTGTCTGTTCACTCCTTCATCACGTCTGTCTCTTTCACTTCATTCCCTCGTCTCGTTTCCTGTCAAACTGGAAACACGTCGGCCAGGATTTTATCGATTCTTCTCGGCTACGTGTGAAGAGTTCCGTTACAGCTTCACTTTTTACGCAGAGCGGAACTTAAGCTCCGCACGTACTACCGCGCATCGAAAAGTTCCACGTCCAATATCAAACTCTTGTCTGTGCGCTGTGGCTCCTCTCTCGTTTAATCAGATCGTTAAAAAAGTCACATTTTGAGCCCATTTTCCGTGATGCCGTTGCTCTTCTTCAACTTCAGGCCTGAATTAGCTTTGGTCAGACTCAGGCTTATTTCTGTCATGGAACGAGTTGAGTTGTGTCCTTTAGTCCGACAGAAGTTAACCGCATCAGCACACGAGAAGCGAGCTGTTTTTTTTCCCAGCGCTTATAGTTATAGTCATAAGACACAATTGTATGCCATATATATAGTAGGGCACATTGTGGATCTGGCTACAACTACAATGGCGATAACTTCAGTAAAAAAATGGCTTTACTGCAAAAATGTTCATGTCAAATCATTCGTCTTTCTGTTACAACTCGTTACATTCTATCTAACATGTTTTTTTTTACTGTTTTATAACTGATAGCGCAGTCTTCATCAGCTGAGGGTTACAAAAAAACAAC